GGGGGGAGGGTCTCAGGAGTGGGCAGTCAGGGGACAAGAGGCAGGGAAGCTTAGGTAGGGGGTGGAGTCCTGGGGGGCAGTTAGGGGCAGAGGTCCCAGGAAGGGGCAGTCAGGGGACAAGGAGCGGGGGGGGAGGGTTGGGGGTTCTGAGGGGGGCGGGAAGTGGGAGGGGCAGGGGCAGGGCTAGGGCAGGACGGGGGCGGGGCTCCTCCCGTCCTCTTTTTTGCTTGCTGAAATATGGTAACCCTAGGATAGCAGCCTTTTTATCCCCCTACAGCATGTTCTGGGGGCAGAAACCGACCATGCTGTGTGAAAGTCTGAGGCTCCTCCTGTTGGAGTTGATTAGAGTTTTGACAGTCACTTCCTGGGGGCCCATAGGCTGTATCCCCACAGGCTATATCTTCAGCTGGTGCAAATCAGCATAACTCCATGGAAGTCAGTGGTGCTACGTTAATTTACACCGGCTGGGAATCTGGCCCATAACATCCCAACCCAGAGAGGTAACGGATTAGTTCAAGCACCTTTGGAATTCTGCGTGTAGCAGTTTTGGATTCCCCATTTCAAGGAAGATAGTGGCAAACGGGAGTCAATTCAGAGAGAGGCAACAAAAGTGATTGCAGGTTCGGAGAGACTGACCTATGTCTGGGAAAAGGTGACAAGAATGAAATCTTTGTATAGTACAATGCAAGACCCCGAAGGGGTGCAAGGAGAACTGTGCAGTATTAAAGTATGGGAACATGACAGAGAGGGAGGAGTGACAAAATAATGGGATCAAACTTCACAAACAAAAATTTAGGCTAGACATCGGGAAAAATTTCCTAACAATAAGGGCAATTAAACCATGGAATAATTTTCTCAGGGAAGTGTTGGAAGCCCCTTCGCTGGAGCTGCTCATACTTGGTCTAGACAAGTCACTTGGGAATGTTCTGCAGGGAGCAGTTCTGCATTGGCAGGGGCCTGGGGTGGATGATCTAATAGGTCGTCTTCCATCTCTGCATTTTATGATTCTACGAATTTTAGCTCCATTAGAAATGCAGGAGAGAAAAAATCCTGGGCAGATCATGAGACACAGTAAAGAATCAAAACGGGCATCCAGCACAATGGAAAGGGAAAAAGAGAACATATGGAAACAGCTGACGATGCCCTTTACACCCTTCCTGGCTAAACGCTATGGGCTGCCGCCCCTTTGCTAGGAGCCCTGGTTAAGAGGCACAGTTCCTGCCCCCTTCCCCCTGGCTTCTAGAAGGGGGCTGGCCCAGACCAGATTGCTACCCCCATGTGCCAGCATTGCTGTGCTTGCAGGCATGTTGGCAGTGGAGCTCAGCTCAGTCCCTACCCCTCTGCCTGCTCCTGCAGTGGATATGTGGGGAGGCCATGCCCCTGCTCAATTGCATGTGCAAGACCAGGCTGCTGTCTTGTCCTATGTGGGGGAATTCACCCCTTTGTGCAAGCACAAGTGTCAGGCCCCCCTACAGGAGGAGGGTGCCCCCTGCAGGCACAGAGCTGGAATAGCTGCCCTGCATGATGCCCTGCACGAGCCCTCCGGTCCAGGAGGGGTGCTGGGGGCATGGCTGGGACATTGCTAAACCCAGCCATTCCCAGCTGCTGGGGGGACACTATAGCCAGGAGAGGCTGGCCTGTGAGGCTGCTTGGACAGGCTGGAGGCTAACCAGCCCCAGCAGTCCAAGGATCAAGGGCACACATTGGGCTCAGTACAGGCACAGGGGTGAATCCCCTCATAGGCCTGATTCTCCCCTGACTTACATCTACATGGATGGGGAATTGGCCCATGGAAGCAAATGGCCCTCACTGTGAACTCACACTGCTTTCACTCCACTGCAGCACCACACAGTCCGTCCCAGTGCACAGCACTGGGGGTGGGATGGGAGCCAGGCCTTGCTGTGACTGTGTTGCAAGGTGCATGGAAACATGTCAGGAAGGCAGGGAGGGGAGTTGCGCGGCGTGGGAGTGCAGGAGCTGGGCAGAGGAAGACAGGGATGGCCCGCATGTGTTCCATGCCCCCTGTGTCTGATGCATGGAGGATGCCAGTCCGTCACAGTCCCAGTTTTGGAGCTTTAGCTCAAGCTGGAGCAGCCCTCATGTTTAGCTCGGGAGGTCTCTGGTTCAGGCTCTGGCCAAGGTGGTGTCTGTCACCTGGGCCTTCTGCAGTGCACCCTAGCTGTAAAGCAAAGCAGTGGGCCCTTAAGCAGCATGGGCACTGTCTGCCACCAGCGATGACCTGGCTTAGGGAGGAGGCAGCGGCCCTTTGGCATCACCCACTGGCTTACAGAGCCTTGTCCTGCAAACCAGCACACTCCTCCCCACAGTTCTTACGCTCCAGGCTCCATGGAGCCAGCCGACGGTGAGTGTGTTACACATGGGGATTAGCTGGTTGGAGCATGAGTGCAAGAGGTAAAGCAGCACGGCATGCAGCCAGCCTGGCACACATGGGCATGGAGACTGAGCATCACTAACGGCACTGTCCCCTCCTGGTCCCCACCCCAGAACACAGTCACCAGTATCACCGGAGAGCTGCACACCTTCCAGGCTCAGTTTGAAGACGCGGTGGCTGCCCATCAGAGAGAGGCCAAGAGCTTGAACGAGCACATAAAGGAGCTGGCAAGAGAGAGGGACTCTGCGGGGAGGGAGGTATGTATGGCTGTTCTGGGTCATCTGTGCACGGTGGGTTAACTCTCTGCTTGCCAAGAGTCTAAGCAAGCCAGTCTGACAGAGGAGACAAGTTCAGCCTCACCTGCACTGGGGCTTTGCCCTAAGTCCAGCCATCAATGCAACTGTCGCCCACAGGGGAGTGTGTTACAGGCCCCATGCCATGCCCACCAGAGAGGAGAGGAGTCCTCGCAGCAGCAGCTCTAGCCATGGAGGGCTGACTCTTTAGCTCAATCTATAGCAGCTCGTGCTTTTAGCTCTGGGGGTCCTGGGGTCAGTCCCTGGTGACGGCCGTCACACAACACTAGCGCAGCATTCGTAACAGACCCAAATCACATTGTAGCTGTACGCTCTCGTCCCGTGCAAGTGCCGCAGAGCCTTCCTGCTGGGTACACTACACGGGGAGCAGCTGCGAGCTTCCCACAGCCATCGCTTCTACACCAGCCACTGCAGATGGCACAAGCTGGCTCAAACCCTGGGGGAGTAAGGGCCAGGTGCAAGCCCTAGCCCAGTGCTGTCTACGATCTGGGCTCTGCTCCCTGGCTAACAGCTCTGGTGAGTCAGCATCAGAGCGAGAGAATGGCCCCCACCACAAAAGGACAGGAGAGTGGGGGGACAGAAAATTAAAAAACATGAAAGAGGAGAGAGAGTAATTTAACATGACAGGCTGTTTATTTTGGCAACAATGGGCTCCTTTCAACAGATTTCAAAGTCCGACCCTGGGAGGGACCACACAGGCAAGCAGGAGAAGGGGATTCAGAGCATGGGGAGACACAGGGAGCTGAGGGAGGAGGGGGCTGCACTGGTATTACGATAAGAGCCGAGGAACCGTGGCACAGAAAGAGGGACCCAGGAGCCAGTCCCAGTGAAAGAAGGGGGTGCAAAACTCAGAGATAAAGACGGATGAGAGAAGGGGGCTGAGGGAGAGGGAGAAATTGGCAGGGAGTGGGAGAAAGACAATTAAAGGGCTTATAGAACAAGCTGAGGGCAGAGAAACAGAGAAATCCTAGCAGACGCCTGCTAGGGCCCACTTATCGCCATGGGAACCATAACATTTTCACAGCCTTTTAACTTGAGAAAGTGTCTCAGGCCGATTCTGCAGCCATGCCTTCCCAACGCAGGCATGCACACGCACACACACACACACATGCACACATTCGCTCTCTCTCCTCCCCACGCCTCCCTGTGCTCTGTCCTTCCGCCCAGGACTCAGCTGGAGATTTGGCTCCCTGAGCGTGGATTTCAAAAGAGGCTGTTTATAAAAATTTCTAGTAAAGAAATAATTATGATAATCATATTAAGAGCTTTGGCTGTCACATTCCTGCAAATGGGGAAGGTTGTCTTTGCAGAGAAGGAGCTGGGGTTGTTTTCTTTTCATGGTTTTGTTCTTTTTCTCAATCCCAGCCCCCTCCCCTTTATCCTGGGAAATGAAAACAGTTTGTTTTATGATGGATCGTCCCTTTCTTTGGTCATTGACCTTCTGGGTGAATTTCTGCTGAGCTCGGTGGAAAATGCTAGGCGCATTTGTGGATCCCATATGTGGGTGGGGGGATGGGAGGGGGAGCTCACCCTAATCCTCCTCAGAAACAGAACAATAACAACATGGAGTGGGACGAAGTGATCCGGGCCAACAGGGAGGATCTGGACAGTGTTAGGGTTTTACAGATCGAAGGAGGAAAAAGGAACGAAAGAAACTGGTGACTTTAAGTTTCTGCGGAAATTTCTATCCCACCCCCACACCCCAGCTCCCACCTCAGAGGTCACCGGGGCAGAACTGGAGCAGCAGGATAAACTCAAGGCAGCTTTTTACTAAAGGGGCAGAATCAATGGGCTCAACACTAGGAGATTTCCCAGCTGGCCCCCACCCCGTCCCGCACCAGCAACCCTGTGCTAAGGAGGGAAACAGCTGACTTATTCCCAGGGATGCTACACAACCTTCACTCCCCTCCTTTTGACATTGAGAGAGGGGACATGATTAGGCCCTGTCTGGGCTAGTGAATAAGACACTGACCTGGGAGTCAGGAGATCGGGGTCCATCCCACCTCGGACACTGACCTTGGGCAAATCACATCACGTCCCTGGCCTCCATTTCCCCTCCAGCCCTGTGCCCATTTAGCTGCAGAGCTCTCTGGGGTAGGGCCAGTCTCTCCCTGTGTGTGGGTGCAGCACCCAGATCTAATCTCCACTGGCACCTCCGGGGGCTACTGTGTTGTAAACAGCCATAAGTTATAACATTCATTTATTGGCATCATTTGCTTTGAATCTGTAAGCCCCTGAGTGCCTCCCTGTAAGCCTCCCTTGAGTGCCCTCCATGTCTCTGTGGTAGCTGTGCTGGCATGTGAAGGAGGGTGTGGGATCAGCCCCACTGTTGCTGATCCTGGTGTGACCAGAGAGGTGCAGCTGAAGCAGAGCAAGCCTTCATGCTGTCTGGGAGCAAATCTCTCTCTGGGCCCCGTTTTCTCAGGGATTCCCCAGCTGTGATCCCCTAAGGACACCTCACTGTGCCAGAGTGTTGCCAAGAAGGCTAAAGGCATATAGAGCTGCATTAGTAGGAGCATTGCCAGCAGATTGAGGGAAGTGATTATTCCCCTCTATTGAATCATAGAATATCAGGGTTGGAAGGGACCTCAGGAGGTCATCTAGTCCAACCCCCACTCAAAGCAAGACCAATCCTCAGACAGATTTTTGCCCCAAATCCCTAAATAGCCCCCTCAAGGACTGAACTTACAACCCTGGGTTTAGCAGGCCAATGCTCAAACCACTGAGCTATCCCTCCCCCCACCCCACTGGTGAGTGCCCACTGAGCACTGGTGAGGCCACATCTGGAGTACTGCATCCAGTTTTGGGCCCCCCAGTACAGAAAGGACGTGGACAAATTGGAGAGAGTCCAGCGGAGGGCAACAAAAATGATTAGGGGGCTAGGGCACATGACTTCTTCTTCAAGTGCTTGTTCATGTCGATTCCAATCAGGTGTGTGCGCGTGCACGTGCACGGTAGTTGGAAGATTTTTCCCCTAGCAGCATCTATTGGGTCGGCCTGGGCATCCCCTGGAGTCACGCCTTGATGGCGCCCAATATAGAGCCCTGTTGACCCACAACCCTTTCAGGTCCTTCTTACCGCCAGTGATGGTTAGCTGAAACTTTCCTGTGCTCTTGTCTTGACAAGCGCATTTAGCAGTTTCTTACATTGTTCTCCATTAGTTTTCCATTGTTCGTTAATAGTTAGTAGTTCATTAGTGTTAGATAAGTTTCCGGGGGGGGGAGGAGGGGAATCCTCTCCTACGCTCTCCTGACGCCAGGGTCTCCAGGCTTCAAAGCCTGCAAAGCCTGAAGCAAGTGTATACCCAGAAGCAATCCTCACACCTCATGTCTAAAGTGTTTAGGAGAGGGCCATCAGAAGGATCTTTGTGCCATTTGTAAGACTTTTCAGCCCAGGACTTCAAAAGATAGAGAACAGTGCCTGAAGGTCCTGTTGATGGAGGAAGCACTCTATTCCCCAGTCCGACCCTGTGTCGATGGACCCTGCGCCAAATACCTCCTCCTCGGTGCAGAGCGCTCTGGCACCATCAGCACGAGCACCAGTGCCGGGTAAGGATAAGGACTCATGGCACCGTCCCGGCTCCACTCGTGGCTCACATGCCACACGCAGGCACCGTTTGCAATTGTCGGTGCCGCAAAAGAAGAAGAGGCCGGAGAGGGGTCACTCTCCTCCAGCTAGGCCTAAGGAGCCTGCCGCTGTGAGACCTGAGTCAGGCCACACTAGTGCTGCACCACTGGTGATGGTCACGCCAACTCCTGCCCACGTGGAAGGGCGATTGAGTCCAGACCCTCCTCGCTCACCAAGGCCGAGCCGGGAGCTGCACCTCCCTTTGACACCGGAGGCGTTTGAGGCGGCCCAAGAACTGCTTCACCTCGTGGCACCGTTCTTTCCTCCCAGAGGGGATAGGGTTGCCGGCACCGGACATTCCCCGGGCTCCTTCAAGGGGAAAGCCCACTATGATGGCCTGCCGATCTCTGACCCAGGGGTGCCACTCCCCGGCACTGGAGCACACCCAGCAGTCACTCCGATCCCCGAGCCCTCGGCGCGAAAGCTTGGTGTCAAGAAGTACCACTCCCCCATGGTCATCGTTTTCAGACACCTCGGAGTAGGGCTCCTATCATTCCCGGAGGAGTAGGAGCAGACGGTCCATGTCAGCTTGGCACTGGCACCCTTATCCGGCACCGTGGCCCGCCCAATGGCAGCCCCTGGCACCATGGCTATTTTGGACTCCCTGGGCATTTCAAAGGAAAGCCAAGGTTGCAGCCAAGGATCTCATTCCAGGGCGACGTTGGTGGCCTCGGCCTTATTTGTATCCCCGCCAGCACCAGCAGGATCGGAGGCAGGCCTATTACCACCCTTCACTACCATCTCAATGCCTCCAGTGCAGCCGGCACTGGGCCCGGGGGTCCCGGCAGCCCCGGCATTGGCAGGGACTCCGGCACCAATGATGATTCTGGCACCGGCGGCGATTCCGATGTCGAGGATGACATTGGTGCCGATGGCACTTTTGGCACCAGTGTTGCTTGCATCGGTGTATGCAGCCCCTATACTGAGGGGCGCAACACCATATGGGTTGGCACCAGCCCAAGAAACCCAGGTGCCGCGGGATCCCTTGAGTGCAGAAGGAAGGGAGCAGCCACCCCTCACGGGGGTCTCTTCCTCGTCCTCACCAGATGAGGCATTGGAGGGCACGGTGACAGCCCCAGCCTTGGAAGACAACAGGGTTCTGCAGCAATTTTGTGGAGGGATTCCCAGGGCCTGGGCATTCAGGCGGAGGAGGTAGTGGAGGATGCAGATCCAATGGTGGACCTCCTCACCCCCTCTGGACCTGCACGGATTGCCCTGCCCCTCATAAAGACCACCTCTGACACCATGAAAACTCTGTGGCAGACCCCAGCCTCATTGCCCCCTATGGTTAAGTGCAACGAAAGACGCTACTTTGTGCCGTCCAAGGGTTACGAGCATTTATACACACATCCCACACCTGACTCTCTCGTGGTCAATGCTGCCAACCAACATGAGCGTCAGGGCTTCCAGGGACCCTCCCCGAAGAATCGGGAGGCGAAAAAGCTTGACCTTTATGGGAGAAAGTTCTACTCCACTGGAGGCTTACAGCTCTGCATTTCAAATCAGCAGGCCATTGTCAGGAGGTACTGCTTCAGCACATGCGGGGCAATGGCTAAATTTGCAGAGCTGTTGCCACAAGACTCCTGCGCCGAGTTTTTGGCTCTTGTGGAGGAAGGGAAGCTCATTTCCAGGACTTCACTACAAGCCGTACTGGATGCAGCGGATGCGGCTACTCGTGTCATGGCCACAGGCATAGCTATGAGGAGGGGCTCCTGGCTCCAAATCTCGGGCTTGCCATATGAGGTCCAACAAACTATTCAGGATCTCCCCTACGAGGGTTCAGCTCTATTTTCTGAAAAGATGGATAAAAGGCTGCATAGCCTGAAGGATTCAATAGCCACTCTCAAATCGTTGGGCCTCCATACTCCCACTACACAGCATAAACATTTTAGGCTGCAACCTCCTCCACGGTTCTATCAGCCACAGAACCGTCAGGATGACTCACGGAGGAGGAATAGGAACGGCAGAAGGCGACCGCACCCATCCTCAGGCCAGGGCTCTGGCCAATCTAAGCCACCCTCTGGGCTGAAACAGGCCTTTTGAAGGTGCGGTCAAGGACGGCGCACCAGATCCCCAACTGGATCCCACCCGCCTTACCTTCTCGTCCCGACTATCCTCTTTCTACCATGCATGGTCCTGTATCACCTCGGACCTTTTGGTGCTCCGCACAGTAGAGAGGGGATACTCCATCCAGTTCTGTGACCATCCACCCTTCCATCCCCCTTCCCCATCCCTCTTCAGGGACCCTTCTCATGAGCAGCTCCTTATCCAGGAGGTGCAGTCACTCCTATCTCTAGGGGCAGTGAAGGAGGTTCCTCAGGAGTACAGGGGCGAGGGCTTTTACTCCCGGTATTTCCTTATATCAAAAGCCAAAGGTGGCCTCAGGCCCATCCTGGACCTGCAAAAACTCAACAAGTTTGTGAAGAAACTCAAGTTCCACATGATCTCTTTGGCCTCAATCATCCCATCACTGGATCCAGCAGACTGGTATGCCGCCTTCAACTTGAGGGACGCATATTTCCTTATCGCAATCACTCAGCTCCACAGGAAGTACCTAAGGTTTGTGGTGAGTGGTACCCACTACCAGTTTACAGTCCTTCCGTTTGGCCTGTAGGAGCACCTAGAGTCTTCACTAAGTGCATGGCAGTTGACGCGTTCTTGTGCAGTCACCAGGTACAGATGTTTCCGTATCTCGACAACTGGCTGATGAAGGGCCACTCCAGGACTTCGACAACCTGGGTCTCCTTCTAAACAAAGCAAAATCGACTCCGTCCCCTGTCCAGAGGATAGAGTTTATAGGGGCAGTACTGGACTCGACCCAAGCTGTGGCCATACTTGCAAGAAGCAAGGTTTCAGGCCCTGACAGATACCATTTGAGGCATCAGACAGTTTTCTACCACCACAGCAAGAAACTGTATGAAGCTTCTCAGACACATGGCTGCCTATACCTAGGTGGTGCAGCATGCCAGACTCAGGCTTCAACCTCTTCAGTTGTGGCTTGCGTCATTGTATCACCCAGCCCGGAACAGCTTGGATAGGATCGTGATCCTGCCTCGCCCGGTCATCGACTCCCTCATCTGGTGGCTCGACCCTCAGGAGGTGTTCTCAGGGGTCCCCTTCACCAGTCCGCAGCCGTCTCTTTCGCTAGTGATGGACGCATCAGACTTGGGCTGGGGAGCTCATCTGGGAGACCACAGGACTCAGGGTCTCTGGTCTCAGGCGGATCTGGCTCTCCACATCAACGTCAGAGAGCTGAGAATGGTGCATGCCAGACCTTCCGTGCACACTTAACGGGACATTGTGTATCAGTTATGATGGACAAGACAACAGCAATGTTCTATATCAACAAATGGGGGTGCACGCTCCTCTCCCCTGTGCCAGGAAGCCCTCATGCTGTGGGACTTCTGTGTAGAACATTCAACGCATCTGCAAGCGTTGTACCTCCCCAGGGTAGAGAATGAGCTGGTGGATCACCTCAGCAGGTCGTTTCACACCCATGAGTGGTCCCTTCACCCGGAAGTCACATTCTCAATATTCCAGAGGTGGGGCTATTCGCCACGCAACACAACAGGAAGTGCCAGCAGTTCTGCTCTTTCCAGAATCACAGCCTGGGCTCCAGAGCAGACACGTTCCTCCTTCCATGGAGAGGCCATCTCCTTTACGCCCATACCACTAGTTCACAAGGTACTCCTCAAGATCCGGAGGGAACGAGCTCAGGTCATATTGATAGCACCAGCCTGGCCCCATCAGCAATAGTACATATCTCTCCTAGACATGTCCGTGGAAGCCCCAGTCACCATTCCACTCTTCCTGGACCTTCTGACGCAAGATCATGGTCGTCTTCAACATCTGAACCTCAAGTCGTTTCACCTCATGTTGTGGAAGCTCCATGGTTGAACCCGATGGAGCTTTCCTTTTCAGACCAGGTTAGACAAGTCCTCCTTGGTAGCAGGAAACCCTCTATGAGAGCCACCTACCTTGCCAAGTGGAAGAGATTTTCAATCTGGTCTATGCAGTGCCATTTGTCCCCCGATGTTAGCCTCAGTGCTGCTCATTCTGAACTACTTCCTCCATCAAAAGCAGCAGGGGCTTTTGTTGTCTTCAATAAGGGTGCACTTAGATGCTATGTCGGCCTTCCATCCGGGCGTGGGGGCTGCTCGGTGTCTGCTAACCCTATGGTCAGCCGATTTTTAAAAGGACGACAGACTGTACCCTCACTTCCATCAGCCTGTCCCCACCTGGGACCTCAACCTGGTCCTCTCTAGGCTCATGGGACCACCATTTGAACCATTGGCGACATGTTCCATGCTCTACCTCTCTTACAAGGTGGCATTCCTGGTAGCAATAACCTCAGCCAGGAGGGTGTCTGAGCTCAGGGCCCTAACGTCAGAGCCTCCCTACACCTTGTTCTATAAGGACAAGGTTCAGCTGAGGCCTCATCCTGCTTTCCTCCCAAAGGTTGTATCGCAATTTCACATTAACCAGGACATCTTTCTCCCAGTATTCTACCCTAAGCCTCATTCCAGTGGCAGGGAACAGAGACTGCACTCTCTGGATGTCTGCAGGGCTCTAGCCTTCTACATGGAGAGAACAAAGCTGTTCAGAAAGTCGGTCCAGTTATTTGTGGCAGTGGTGGACAGAATGAAAGGTCAGCCGATATTGTCACAACACATCTCGTCATGGATAGCGTCCTGTATTCGTGGGTGCTACAACCTGGTGGGGGTTCCTGCATCTCCAATCACTGCGCACTCCACCAGGCCGCAGGCTTCATCAACAGTGTTCCTGGCTCAGGTTCCCACTCAGGAAATCTGCAGAGCGGCGACGTAGTCCTCCATCCATACTTTCGCCATGCACTATGCAATTACCCAGCAGGCCAGAGACGATGTGGCCTTCGGACAAGCAGCGCTCCAATCAGTGGAAGACTCCGACCCTACCACCTAAACTTGGGCTTGTGAGTCACCTGATTGGAATCAACATGAACAAGCACTCAAAGAAGAAAAAATGTTTACTCACCTTCTCATAACAGGGCTCTATATTGAGCGTCATGAAGGCACGACTCCAGGGGGCACCCAGGTCGACCTGACAGATGCTGCTAGGGGGGAAATCTTCCAGCTACCATGAACATGCGCACGCGCATACCTGATTGTAATGGACATGAACAACACATCTCAAAGAACAACAGTTACGAGAAGGTGAGTAACCATTTTTTATGAGGAAAGGATGAGGGAACTGGGCTTATTTAGTCTGCAGAAGAGAAGAGTGAGGGGGGATTTGATAGCAGCCTTCAACTACCTGAAGGGGGATTCCAGAGGGGATGGAGCTCGGCTGTTCTCAGTGGTGACAGATGACAGAACAAGAAGCAATGGTCTCAAGTTGCAGTGAGGGAGGTCTAGGTTGGATATTAGGAAAGAACTATTTCACTAGGAGAGTGGTGAAGCACTGGAATGGGTTACCTAGGGAGGTGGTGGAATCTCCATCCTTAGAGGTTTTTAAGGCCTGGCTTGGCAAAGCCCTGGCTGGGATGATTTAGTTGGGGCTGGTCCTGCTTTGAGCAGGGGGTTGGACTAGATGACCCCCTGAGGTCTCTTCCAACCCTAACCTTCTATGATTCTATGACTGCAGCGCTCTCAGCCCGGGCTGGCAGCACGCTGCACTGTACAAGGACTTCATATTCCTCCTTCGCATGCTGGGCTGTGAAACAAGCCAGCTTCTCAAGGTGCCAAGTGCCTCCTGCTAGTGTGGAGTGCCCAGTCTCCCTGTGACTGTAATGGGGAGCCGAGCCCCATTTGCAAAGGGCATCATGCTGGCTTAGCAGCTGCCACCTTCTCCTGGCGGGATGGACTGGCATTCACCCATCCTAGATGACAAGCAGCAGAGCCCAGCTCTGCTCTTCTAGTAGGGCAGAGATCCTGGGTGAGATAGCTCAGGGCGTGCATATCTGTGTCTCTCCCCAAAAGGCAGAACAGTTAAGGACGCAGCTGCGGCTTGCAGAGGATGCCCGCGATGGGGCGCACAAGGACCTGATCGAGTTGCACCGCAGGTTGCGGGAGGCTGAGGAGGCCCGAGAGCTCCAGCGCAAGGAGATGTTGGAAACCCACAGGGCTTTGGGGGACGAGACCAGGGAGAAGGAAATAATGCAGAAATCCAATACTGAGCTGCGAGCTGCCATCAAGAAGATGGAGAGCAAAAGGACCAGGTAGGCTCAGGGCAGTGCCAGGCGGGCTGCACCCTGCAGCAGACATTACTTGGCACTGTGATAGCCTGCCAAGGTGCAGGCATGGCCAGGGACTGTTAGCTGGGCCACAGATCCAAACCAGAAAGTGCAGAACAGTAGCAAAGACCTACCAGCATGTCCACCCAAAGCCATTCCAGCTAAGAACTTGTCACTGTATTCAGGCCTGGGATGTACAAGTAGGGCTGGACCCTGCAGCCATTCCAGGCAGGCTCAAGGCAGCTGCTTCTCCCATAGCTCAACCCAGAGCAATTCCATCCAGTCTGTGTCTCTTTCCTCCCAGAACTGGGCCCAGAGGCCAGTCCCAGGGCTGCCCTGGGGCGCATTGGAATGGGCACAGTAGCATGGTCTGACCTCTTCTCTGCCTCGTCCACTTCCAGCCAGTGCAGAACTCCCTGCGGGTTCTTTCCCTTCCAGACCGTCCCCAGACAGCCCAGAGCTCCCACTCACACCGTGACGACAGCTGGGTGACTGGGCGGGCAGTGCCCCCTGCATAGATGTCCGCTCACAGCCCTTCAGCATTCCCCGGGCAGGAGTGACCATGCATGTCTGCTTCAGCTTGAAGAGAGGCCTAGAGGAGAAGGAGCAGAAAATCACCATGCTGGAGGAAGCCAAGGCTGCAGCTCAGAAGGAGGCAGGAGAGCTGAGGGCAAACCTGCGGGAGGTGGAGAAGTCTCAGATGGAGGCCCGCCGGGAGCTGCAGGAGCTGCACAGACAGGCGAGTGCAGATGGCTCCCAGACACGTGCCAGCCAGGTCCCTTTGCTGTCCCAGCTCCATCAGCCTCCGCAGACATATTCTGCCCCGCACCTCCCCTACTGGGAACTTCCTGACTGCGATGCCTCCTCGTAGGCTGCCCATTTGGGCCACTGAATGGGTCCCATTCCCCTGTGGCAACCTAGATTTCAGCGCCAGGCTGAGAGGAAGAGCTGGTAGCAGCCGAAGCCACCTGGGGCATGCCCAGAAGTGCAGCTCCCAGGGAGGTGAGGGGCATCTCCCTCCCAAATGGAGAACATGCCCTGAAAACCCCTTGGGTAGAAACTGGAGGCTTCAAAGCTCCCCAGCTTCAATCCCCCAGTGCGAGGAGCAGAATGGCCTGGTCTCATCCCCCATCCCACTGGCCACAGGAGTGGCTGACTGCAGAGGGGAGCGTGCTACACAGGCCTGCTCCCCATGGGCTGCGCCAGCACCGGCCCAGGCCTGGCGGGCTGGGGAAAGGCGGCCGGAGGAGCCTGCTAGCGACGTAGAGTGAATCAGTGGGTCCCACATTGGTACTTTCCACCCTGTGGCACTTGGCCAGCTCCTCCGGGGAGGCGGAGGAACCAAACTAAGAAGGGACCATTTTGTCCATCCTCAAGCAGTTATTGCCGGGGGGGAGGCAGCCCTGCCCCCGGTCAGGGCAGCAGCAGTGGCTTGCTGTGGCCGAGACGGGCCTGCCAGCATGGCCCATCCGCCCCAGGTCGAGCCCAGGACCAACCCGAAGAACCGCCCTTTGCAGGTGAAGACGCTGGGGGACGAGAACAGCAAAAAGGGCAAAGAGGTGAGCGAGTTGCAGGCCCGTCTCCTGCAGCAGGAGCAGCGTGAGCAGCAGTGCCACAGGCAGTCCCTGGAGCTGAAGCAGAGGATCGCGGAGATGGAGGGCGCCCAGGAATGTGTTCGCAAAGAGGTGAGCTGAGTAGGCACTGGAGCTGGCAGGCAGAGGCGGGCAACGAGGGAGGGGGGCAGAGAGAAAGGATGGTGTGGAGGGAAGGGTACAAGGCCATCTCTAGATTAACCCAGCTAGGCCCACCAGGCCCCTGTGGGAGACCTCAAGGACTATCTCCCTCCCCTCCTGTTCCTTCCCATCACCCTGAGGGTGCAGCCCTGAAGCAGAGGGGAGGGCAGTCCGCTCCCTGGTGCCTGCCTGTAAACACTGCCCCGAGGTCTCCAGAGAGCGACTCAGGGCTGTCTCTGCCAGTGGGATAGAAAGCAGCAGCTCAGCCTGGGAGCCTGTGCACTGAACTGTGGGCGCTCCCGCCCTGCAGAGAGGGCTCTCTTTGGGTCTGTGCTGGGAAGCTCCTGGCCACTGTGTGTGTGTCGAGGTGGTGCGCCCCTCCTGGCCCTTTCAGCATGCTCTCTGGTGGACTGTATGCAGACAGGGCCTGGCGGTTATTCTGCAGCGCCCTCCCTTCCAGGTACTGAGCCTGCAGAGGAAGCTGGTGGAGGTGGAGTGGGAAGCCAGAGCCAGAGAGAAGGGGCTGGCCGACAGCCTGGGCGAGAGTCACAGCAAGGAGAAGAAGCTCCGGGATGAGCTCCATAACATGGAGCTGAAGCTGCAACAGGCCGGCGGGGTCAGCAAAGGCCTCCAGCTGCGCCTCAGCACCACTGAGGGGCGCCTCCAAGGCCTAGAGACAGAGCTGGCCAAGGCGGAGGCTGCCAAGAGGGAGGTGGAGTTGAAGCTCGGGGTGCTGCACTCTGCCCTGCGCCGGACACTAGGGCTGGGTGGGCGGAGCCCCTCGCCGCAGAGACCCTGCTCACCTAGCAAAGGTCAGCAGCCTTGGAGGGCTCAGCTGGGTTTGGGAGACAGACTGACTGGGCCAGATCACAGAGTGCCGTGTGTGTGACTGCACTGGAGCACTGATTGCACGTCACAAGATCTGCATGACATTTCTCCAGTGCTCCAGGGTGAGGGCTGCTCTGGCGGGGCCTGTGGCCTTGCAGGGTGGGGGCAGATACAGCATAGAGGGAAAGGTGTTGCCATGGCAGCAGTCACTTTGAAGGGGAAGAGGGTGGCGCTTGAAGGAGCTGAGTGTCAGGCAGCTATCCCTGCCCTGAAAGGGGAAAGCCATGGAGGGGGCAGGGGTCTGCCTGGAAATCCAACCTAGCAGCAATCTTGGGAGAGGGTGGCTCTGAATCCCTGCATGGATTATCCCCAGTCTGGGCTGAGGAGAGAAGCACAGTTGTAGGGCTGTAGTGACACGCTTGCCTTGCACCAGCTAATCCGTATTGCCTCCTGCCATTATCACATGGGGATGGTCTAGGCCTGCCTGATGGTCCCTCTCCCAACACACCCACCTGGCATTCAGGCTTTGAGAGCTTCTCTGCCACCACAGGAACTGACGGGCGACGGACTCCGGCCTCCCGCACTGGCTCTCCAGAGAGGAGCTGTTCCCGCTCCCCCTTTGGTTGGGCTTCCCCTTTCCAAGGGGAGCACAGTGCCAGCGAGCCTGACCCGGACAGAGTCCGAGATGCTTTGAGAGACTTCCTGCAGGAGCTGCGAGACACTCAAAGAGAGAGGGTAAGAGCATCTCCTTTCTGCTCCCATGGTGTCCCCCTGCCCCTCCACAAACTCCCCACTCTCTGCTCACACCCAGGCCATGCTCAGCGTCATGGTCCCTGGCAATGCTAACACAGATTTGCCCCCACATCGGATTGCTGCATTAACTGAAACAAATGTACAAGGACATTAAACTTCTGTCCCTTTCAGTTAGAATGAGCCCAGAAATGAGGCCTTGGTACCACCCAGGACTGCACGCAAGCTTTACGCTCATTCATTTAATCTCTCTATGTAGCTTCCAATCTACGCCTTGTCCACCAAGCTCTAACCAGCACAGTCACTCCCAGTGCTGCAGCGTGGGACACAGCCCTCGGAACATGAGGCGCTGCACAAAGGGGCATGGGACTGGCACACTGGACCAGAGCAGGGCTCCAGCCAGCCCGGTGTTATGGTTCTGACAATGGCCAGCACCAGTTTCAGTAGAAGGTGCAAGAGCCCTTCAGTCTCCTTCCCTCCCCCTGTCAGTTACAGGCCAGTTCAAGCCCTGTAGCTGGAAGGTTTAGATCCTTTCTAAAACACTTGGTTATTTTTTTATTCCTTGTTATAACACTGGAGATTCTTGTTCTCCACAGAACTGTCTAACCTTTTGCTGAATCCTGCTGAGCTCTTGGCCTCTGTGATAGCTTTAGGCAATAGGTTCCACAGGCTCATTGCATGGAAAAATATTTACTTGGCCGCCACTGCTTGCTGAGTGTCACTGAAGGCCCCCTTGTTCTGGTACTGTGGTCTGGTTGTAGGGCAAGGGCACTGGCAGTGCCAGGGGGATGGTGGGATATTATTTCTCATTCTTCTCTGCCCTCCCTGTATTCCATGCCTTGGCCTTCCTTCCCCGACCCTTTGTGTTACTCCTTCCCCAACTGTCTCCCTGTCCCTCCCATCAGTTCTTATCCCCGGAGGCAGAGGACTCTGCTCAAGAGTCACAGCACCAGGTCCACCCCTCTTTCTCTTCAGCTCTGCCTGTATGACGGGGTGGCATAGGGAGCAGAGCAGCCATAGGAGGCGTGGAAGCTGCGTTCCCACCCTTGGGCTGACTCAGGGAGGAATATGGTCAGTTCACAGTGTGTCCTTCCCTGTTAGCTGCTGGGGGAGCAGAGGAATGTTGCCAAGGAATGGCACATGAGATGCCACATGCTTGAAAAGCAAGTCAGGCATTGCTCACTTCTGTAGTTAGCTCAGTGCAGCCGTGCGGGATGTGTGCACAACCTGGGCAGGAAAGTGGTATGCCAGGCCACATCAGGCCATGGAAGAGTTAAACTATGCCTTCAGATGCTGCCCTCCCCACACACTCCACAGCCAGGGAGCCGACAGCCCATGCAGTGCTGTGGTTTGCCAAGCTCTATCGCTGGGCAAGGAGAGTCAAGGAAAGAGGACATGGAGGGGCAGGAGCACATGGAGAGCTGCATTTCCTTAGAGGATATTGCCAGCTGCTCTCTCGGCCACCCCTACAGTGTCCAGGCCTGATCTGCAGCTGCTGTAACTTGACTCACCCCCAGCGACTCACCTCCAGCAGAGCAAGGCTGGCGACCCGCTGGGGATCTGGCCTGCTGACATCAGTAGAGCTAGGTCTGATTTACACCAGCTGGGGATCTGACCCCATTGACTCCAGTGGAGCTAGGGCTGATTTACACCAGCTGGGGATCTGGCCCCATTGACTCCAGTGGAGCTAGGGCTGATTTGCACCAGCTGGGGATCTGACCCCAGTGACTCCAGTGGAGCTAGGGCTGATTTGCACCAGCTGGGGATCTGACCCCATTGACTCCAGTGGAGCTAGGGCTGATTTGCACCAGCTGGGGATCTGACCCCAGTGACTCCAGTGGAGCTAGGGCTGATTTGCACCAGCTGGGGATCTGACCCCAGTGACTCCTATGGAGAGATGCTGACTGACAGCAGCTGGGGAGCTGACCTCGCCAGAATGGTTGCCACCCTCTGTTTTAGCAGTGAGCCCGTCTGTGCCCCTGCAGGCACTGGGCAGACAGCTACTCAATAGCAACGGGAGCTGAACACCCTCCCCCCCAGCACTCAGCGGAGCGAGGGACCCGTGGCAAACCACCAGGCCAGCTCAAGGACATGCTCAGCATCACATGACCCCACCAGCTGAGCTCGACCCCAAGTTGACCTTAACAGCATTTATATAGCAATGCTCTCTGGTCCTTCAGCCCCCTCCCCTTTGGCCTTCCTCTGTTGTGTCCTATTGCTCAAAACATGATTCTTATAAAGATGCATAAATATTTATACAAGCGTAATGTAAAAAACATGGACTGTCATAATAATCAAAGCCGTGGCACAGCCAAAGGGCTTTCTCTAGGATTGGGAAATTAATTAATACTTTATGGGTCTAAGCTATCGAGTTTGAGGCGCTCCTGCCTTCCCCATCCCATCAGGCTGCTGGGGTTTGCTGGAGTCGAGGTGAGCAGCTGTGTCCAGTTGTGTCTCTCAGTGAACACAAGGGAAGGTGTATTCCCTTACAGTTGAAGGAGGTTTGATGGTTTGATTAACATTCTGTGTGTTGTTTTCATATGATTACTGTGTATAGCCGTTCCTTAAGACTCCCACTGACTGGCCAAACTATCAGCCTGCACCAGTGCTCATTGACATCAATTGAAGGATTCCCATTGATTTCAGTAGGCCTCAAGTCCCACAAGTTCTACTGGGTGGTCGGCAGCAGCCCACCTCCCTATTAAAGACAAAGGGTAACATTTTCCACAGCACCTAAGGGTATGTCTACACTACAAAATTAGGTCGATTTTATAGAAGTCGATATTTAGAAATCAATTTTATACAGTCGATTGCGTATGTCCAAACTAAGCGCATTAAGTCGGCGGAGTGCGCCCTCACTACTGTGGCTAGCATCGACTTACGGAGCGGTGCACTGTGGTTAGCCATCCCACAGTTCCTGCAGTCTCCGCTGCCCATTGGAATTCTGGGTTAAGCTCCCAATGCCTGATGGGGCAAAAACATTGTTGCGGGTGGTTTTAGGTACATGTCGTCAGTCTCCCCTCCCTCCGTGAAAGCAACGGCAGACAATTGTTTCGCGCCTTTTTTCCGCGCAGACGCCATACCACGGCAAGCGTGCAGCCCGCTCAGCTCAGCTCACCAACACCGCCGCTGTTGTGTCCTGGGTGCTGCTGGCAGCAGACGGTGCAGTAGGTCTGCAAACCATCGTCATACACCGCTTCCGCTGCAACTCTGCTCTGCTGCTATTGGCTCGATAGCGAATTTCTCCATGTTGTCTGTCATGGGCTCCTGGGTACGTGTGTTCTTCCTCAGGAAATGTGCACGGTGCTAACCGTCGTCCTCCACTGCTTCCGCTGCAACTCTGCTCTCCTGCTATTGCCTCAATAGCGAATTTCTCCATGTTGTCTGTCATGGGCTCCCAGGTACGTGTGTTCTTCCTCGGGAAATGTGCACGGTGCTAACGGTCATCCTCCACCGCTTCCGCTTCAACTCTGCTCTCCTGCAGACGCCATACCACAGCAAGCATGGAGCCCGCTCAGATCACCGCTGCTGCTGTGAGCATTGTAAACACCTCACGCATTATCCTGCGGAATGTGCAGAACCTGCAAAAGCAGGCGAGGAGGCGACGACAGCACAATCATGATAGTGATGAGGACATGGACATAGACTTCTCTCAAAGCACGGGCCCTGGCAATTTGGACATCATGGTGGTAATGGGGCAGGTTCATGCTGTGGAACGCCGATTCTGGGCCCGGGAAACAAGCACAGACTGGTGGGACCACATAGTGTTGCAGGTCTGGGATGATTCCCAGTGGCTGCAAAACTTTCGCATGCATAAGGGCACTTTCATGGAACTTTGTGACTTGCTTTCCCCTGCCCTGAAGCGCAAGAATACCAAGATGAGAGCAGCCCTCACAGTTCACAAGCCAGTGGCGATAGCCCTCTGGAGGCTTGCAAAACCAGACAGCTACCGGTCAGTCGGGAATCAATTTGGAGTGGGCAAATCTACTGTGGGGGCTGCTATGATCCAAGTAGCCAACGCAATCACTGAGCTGCTGCTATCAAGGGTAGTGACTCTGGGAAATGTGCAGGTCATACTGGATGGCTTTGCTGCAATGGGATTCCCTAACTGGTGGGGCGATAGACGGAACGCATATCCCTATCTTGAGACCGGACCACCTTGGCAGCCAGTACGTAAACTGCAAGGGGTACTTTTCAATGGTGGATCACAAGGGACGTTTCACCGACATCAATGTGGGATGGCCAGGAAAGGTGCATGACGCTCGCATCTTCAGGAACTCTGGTCTGTTTGAACAGCTGCAGGAAGGATCTTACTTCCCAGACCAGAAAATTACCGTTGGGGATGTTGAAATGCCTATAGTTATCCTTGGGGACCCAGCCTACCCCTTAATGCCATGGCTCATGAAGCCATACACAGGCACCCTGGACAGTAGTAAGGAGCAGTTCAACTATAGGCTGAGCAAGTACAGAATGGTGGTAGAATGTGCATTTGGATGCTTAAAAGCTTGCTGGCGCAGTTTACTGACTAGGTGAGACCTCAGCGAAACCAATATTCCCATTGTTATTGCTGCTTGCTGTGTGCTCCACAATATCTGTGAGAGTAAGGGGGAGACATTTATGGCAGGGTGGGAGGTTGAGGCAAATTGCCTGGCAGCCGATTACGCGCAGCCAGACACCAGTGCGATAAGAAGAGCACAGCTGGGCGCCCTGCGCATAAGAGAAGCTTTGAAAACCAGTTTCATGACTGGCCAGGCTACAGTGTGACAGTTCTCTTTGTTTCTCCTTGATGAAAACCTGCCCCCTTGGTTGACTCTACTTCCCTGTAAGCCAACCGACCTCCCCCCTTCAATCACCACTTTTAGAGGCAATAAAGTCATTATTGTTTCCAAATCATGCATTCTTTATTAATTCATCAAACAAATAGGGGGAAAACTCTCAAGGTTGCCCGGGAGGGGTGGGTGAGGAGGGAAGCACCAGGTGGGGTGGTGGATGAGGGGAGGAGGGAAGGACAAGGCCACACTACAGTTCAAAACTTATTGAATGCCAGCCTTCTGTTGCTTGGGCAATCCTCTGGGGTGGAGTGGCTGGGTGCCCGTAGCCTCTTCCCCCCCTCCCCCCACATTCTTGGGCGTCTGGGTGAGGAGGATGTGGAACTTGGGGAGGTGGGCAGGCAGTTATACAGGGGCTTCAGCGGCAGTCTGTGCTCCTGCTGCCTTTCCTGCAGCTCCACCAGATGCCTGAGCATGTCAGTTTGCTCCCCCATTAGCCTCAGCATTGCATCCTACCTCCTCTCAGCGTGCTCCTCCCTCCTTTCATCGCGTTCATTTAACGCTGTCCTGGACTCTGCCATTGTTTGCCTCCACGCATTCTGCTGAGCTCTTTCAGTGCAGGAGGACTGCATGAGCTCTGAGAACATCTCGTCGCGAGTGCGTATTTTTCGTCTTCTAATCTGCGCTAGCCTCTGGGATGGAGATGATGGGGGAGCGTAGAAACATTTGCAGCTGCGGGAGGAAGAAAAGGGAGAGTAGAATTTAAAAAGATACATTTTAGAAAACAAAGGGAAGACTATTTCACACTGAATCAAGTGATTCACATTACATAGCACATGTGCTTTTGCTACAAGGTCACATTTTGCCTTTTATATTGAGGGCCTGCCGGTTTGGTGTGAGACATCACACATGCTCGGCTGGGCAACAGAATTCGGCTTGCAGCAGCCATGGTAAGGCAAAGGGTTTTGGCTTCTTCAACCTTCATAACATGTGGGAACGGTTTCAAACAGCAGCGCCCTCCTTTCCCATACCAAGCAAAGCCCGTTGGGTTGGCCGTTTAAAAGGAGGGGCTGCGGTTTTAGGGTGAATGTGCAGCACAATCCAACCCCCCTCCCCCAACTCTCTGGGATGATCGCTTCACCCCCCACCGCATGGCTAGTATCAGGGAAGATCCCTGTCAGCCAAACGCGAACAGCTCAGCATGAATGGGCCTCCCCCCACCGCGTGGCTAACAGCGGGAATTATTTATTTTCAGCCAAAGGCAAACAGCCAAAGCCTGGGCCCATTTGCTGCAAGGTTTTGTTCTGCAATGATTCCAGACTACTTGCTACTGGCTTGGCGTGGTAAATTAATCATTAAACACGCTTACTTTTAAACCCTGTATTATATTTACAAAGGTACACTCACCAGAGGTTCCTTCTCCGGCGTCATGGTCCGGGAGTCCGCCTTGGGAGAGTTGGGAGGGTATTGGCTCCAGGGTGATGAACAGTTCCTGGCTGCTGGAGAGAAGGGATTCTCTGCTTGCCTGCTGTGCGCTACCCTCAACCTCCTCCTCCTCATCATCTTCAAACTCCTCATCCCTGTTGCGTGAGACTCCCCCCTTGCAGGTGTTCACGGACAGTGGTGGGATAGTGGCAGGGGCCATGCCTAGAATTGCATGCAGCTCATCATAGAATGTCTGGGGCTCTGATCCGGAGCGACCGTTTGCATCCTTTGTTTTTTGGTAGGCTTGCCTCAGCTCCTTAACTTTCACGCGGCACTGCTGTGTGTCCCTGTTGTAGCCTCTGACCATCATGCCCTTGGAGATTTTGTCAAATATTTTGGCATTTCGTCTTTTGGAACAGAGTTCTGCCTGCACGGATTCTTCTCCCCATACAGCGATCAGATCCAGTACCTCCTGTTCGGTCCATGCTGGTTCTCTTTTGCGATTCTGGGACTCCGTGGTCACCTGTGCTGATGAGCTCTGCATGGTCACCTGTGCTGATCAGCTCCCCACGCTGGCCAAACAGGAAATGAAATTCAAAAGTTCGTGGGGCTTTTCCTGTCTACCTGGCCAGTGCATCTGAGTTGAGAGTGCTGTCCAGAGCGGTCACAATGGAGCACTCTGGGATAGCTCCCGGAGGCCAATACCGTCGAATTGCGTCCACACTACCCCAAATTCGACCCAGCAAGGTCGATTTTAGCGCTAAACCCCTCGCCGGGGAGGAGTACAGAAATCGATTTTAAGAGCCCTTTACATCGACAAAACAGGCTTGGTCATGTGGACGGGTGCAGGGTTAAATCGACCTAACGCTGCTAAATTCGACCTAAACTCATAGTGCAGACCAGGGCTAAGGGTACGTCTTCACTACCCGCCGTATCGGCGGGTAGCAATCGATCTATCCGGGATCAATATATCGCGTCTCGTTAAGACGCGATATATCGATCCCCGAACGCGCTCACCATCGACTCCGGAACTCCACCAGAGCGAGCGGCGGTAGCGCAGTCGACGGGGGAGCCGCGGCCGTCGATCCCGCGCCGTCTGGACCCCAGGTAATTCGATCCAAGATACTTCGACTTCAGCTACGCTATTTGCGTAGCTGAAGTTGCGTATCTTGGATCGATCCGCCTCCCCCCCCACCCCCAGTGTAGACCAGCCCAAAGTGACTTTTGAAATTGGGCTGTAGGTCACTTAGGTGCTGTGGAAAATGTTACCCCTTGTCTTTAATATGAAGGCTATAGACCCCTGCCTGCCGTACTCCATTGTGCTGCCACCTGGCCACAACAGTCAAGATGTAGCATTGCATGCTGGAACCAGGGGTCTCTGTAGGGCTCAGCTCCATACTGAAGAGGAGGATGGCTGCAATCTGTGCCATTTTGTGCAAAGTAGGTTCCCCCTTTGGGCTCCTGGCAGGGTGCCCGTGAAGCTTAGCTTCGCAAAGTTTGGGCACCTGCGGCATGGATAGCAAAGAACATAATGGAAACTAGCAGGAAATGGGGAGCTGTCTTTGGCCAGGAGACTACAGACACTCAGGGCTGTTTGTGGCCAAGAGTACAGGCTGGGTTTGATAATATTGTTCTTTTGAAGGTAACTGGATTGTGATTTGCAAACCAGCAGCCAGACTCTGCCTCCCATTACACTCCTGCTGCCATGCTGACCTGGAGCCGGATCCTGTTTTGTTGGTTTTTTAATGATGGTTTATGTCATGCACTTTGGCAGCAGCTTCCATCTGAGGATATAAAGCCTTTACAAATAGTGCTGTCTGTAGCCTCGTCACAGGCCCCTGGCAAGTGGGGACACCCCCATCATACAGATGAGGAAATGGAAGCACTGAGTGGGTGGGTGAGTTGCCCAGGGTAGCAGAGCTGAGAGTAGGATTCAGGAGAGTCAGGTTCTACTTTGCTGCCCTGGGCAAGTCACCCCTCCACACACCAGGGAGAAGGATGGGGCTGTTCGTAATCCCTGTACTTTAAGAACAACCTCATCCGCCTTCCTGGTGTGCAGTGTGAGGTGGAGGTGTGGTGTGTTTTAGGTGCAGGGTATGGGATTGCTGCTGAGTCCTTCTTTCCCGTTTCCCACACTGGACTCTGGGGTGTAAATCAGGATAGATCCACAGCAGAGTCAGTTATACAGCTAAGGATCTGTTAGCACACATTGCTTTCATTTGCTGAGCTTGGCAGTTTAGTGATGTTTAAAAATGCTCAGAAGACTTTGGGGAAGGGGACACTGAGATTAAAATGGTCCTTTGTTGGGACCATCGTGTAGACACATTTGTGTATGTGTGTGTCAGACATCACACTCACAAACTGACATGCCACCAATATTTACAGGACGCCCTAGAGCTCTGGTTCCAGGGATGTTCTGATTTGCGTCAGGAAGTTCCCATTGTTAAACTTAGTGTTTCATGTACTTCCTTTTCTCCTTTCTCTTTCTCCACCCCCACCCCCCCTTGTGTCTCGGCATATTCCTCTTTCTTTCTGGCCTGCACTTAAAATCTGACACTATTTTTCCTTCTCCCAGGATGATTTAAGGACACAGGTGATGAACCTGAACCGTCAGCTGAATGAAATGGCAAGCGACCGGGACGAGACCAGCAATCGCGTCCTGCAGCTGCAAAAGTTGCTGGCAGACTCTGAGGAAGGCCAGTCATTCTCCTCTTCTCCCCCTAGATTCCATAAGGCTCAGTTGATGCAGCTGGAGCAGACTGTCACTGGGACAGCAGGAGCACACAGGATCAGCTCTCCTCTCGTGTCAGAAGGGGCTAGCTGGTCAGGCAGAACTGGAGAGGTTCTAGTTTGGGATTGAACAGTGATGCCAGGCAAGCCCTGATCTCCTGGCCAGGATGCAGCCATCCCAACCCGAGGGATGGAGGGGGGTGTGACTAGAAGGTTAGCTACAGGTGTAAAGCTACAGGGGCTTGCCAAAAACAGCTCCTGTGACCAGAGCCCAAAAGTTATGTGACCATAAGAAAGCCACTTCTGTTCTCAGTGCCTCTTTTTGCCATCCCAGCCTTTATCCATAGGGATTGCAAGCTCCCGACCTTGGGGCAAGGCCAGTCTCTCTTTGGCTTCCTGATGTGGTCAGCCCTGCCTTGCCGCGTGGAGTCCAGGGCTGGGTTCCTGGCACATGGCTCCTTTGGGGTGATGTCCCCATGCACTGATGCAGCAACCCTTAGATCCAGTGAACTCACTGTTCACATGTAGCTCGGGGACTCCAGGAGGTTGGGTGATGGCTTGGCTGGATTGCACCCCCAGCCATCGCAGAGATCCACTGGGGAAGCAGTGCTCTTCTCCCTCCCACAGATCAGAGCCCGTTCCTCAAACCCCTGCCTCTTCTTTCCCATACCCAGGCAAGCGAGGCATGGACGGGCGCCTGAGCAGTGCGCAGATGGCCCTGGCACTGCAAGAAGAGACCATTCGGAGAGTGGAGAGGGAGCGCCATGCCTTGGCAGAGCAGATTGCTACCCTGGAGTGCAGCATGCATGCCAGGGAGGAGAAGAACAGGGAGCTGCAGGTGGGTCTGAGCCTGCAAGGAGAAGGAGTAGGAAGTGCATGTTACGGGGCAGCTACCCATTAGGAAACAGGGAGGGGGAGCTCTGTAAAAGTCACCAGTGGAAAGGGAGAGTCATAAGAACATAAGAATATAAAAACAGCCATACTGGGTCAGACCAAAGGTTCATCTAGCCCAGTATCCTGTCTTCTGACAGTGGCCAATGCCAGGTGCCCCAGAGGGAATGAACAGAACAGGGAACCATCAAGTGATCCATCCCCTGTGGCCCATTCCCAGCTTCTAGCAAACAGAGGCTAGGAACACCATCCCTGCCCATCCTGGCTAATAGCCATTGATGGACCTATCATCCATGAATTTATCTAGTTCTTTTTTGAACCCTTTTATAGTCTTGGCCTTCACAACATCCTCTGGCAAAAAGTTCCACAGGTTGACTGTGCGTTGTGTGAAAAAATACTTCCTTTTGTTTGTTTTAAACCTGCTGCCTATTAATTTCATTTGGTGACCCCTAGTTCTTGTGATATGAGACAGAGTAAATAACACTTTCTTATGCACTTTCTCCAGACCAGTCATGATTTTATAGACCTCTATCATATCCCCCTTTAATTGTCTCTTTTCCAAGCTGAAAAGTTCCAGTCTTATTAATCTCTCCTCATACGGCAGCCGTTCCATACCCCTAATCATTTTTGTTGCCCTTTTCTGAACCTTTTCCAAGTCCAATATATGTTTTTTGAGATGGGGTGACCACATCTGCACGCAGTATTCAAGATGTGGGCGTACCATGGATTTATATAGAGGCAATATGGTATTATCTATCCCTTTCTTAATGATGCCCAACATTCTGTTTGCCTTTTTGACTGCCGCTGCACATTGAGTGGATGTTTTCAGAGAACTATCCACAATGACTCCAAGATCTCTTTCTTGAGTGGTAACAGCTAATTTAGACCCCATCATTTTATATGTATAGTTGGGATTATGTTTTCCAATGTGCATTACTTTGTATTTATCAACATTGAATTTCATCTGCCATTTTGTTGCCCAGTCACCCAGTTTTGAGCTATCCTTTTGTAGCTCTTCACAGTCTGCCTGGGACTTAACTATCTTGAGTAGTTTTGTATCATCTGCAAATTTTGCCATCTCACTGTTAACCCCTTTTTCCAGATCATTTATGAATATGTTGAATAGGACTGGTCCCAGTACAGACCCCTGGGGGAATCACTATTTACCTCTCTCCATTCTGAAAACTGACCTTTTATTCCTACCCTTTGTTTCCTATCTTTTAACCAGTTACCAATCCATGAGAGAACCTTCCCTCTTATCCCATGACTGCTACTTTGCTTAAGAGCTTTTGGTGAGGGACTGTAGAAGGGTTCGGTTGGGGTCACCCCTCTCTGGGGCAGCTGGGAACCAGTCTGCCTCACTACTTAGGTCCGGTGAGTCGGGGAATTAGCCAGGTGAGGCAGGAAACAATCAAGGGCTCAGGCCCTCACGCAGGGGCTGAGCAAATAGTTCAATAATAAGCCCAGGCCCTGGGTCAGGGCGGGGCAGCAAACAAGCAGCAGCTCAGGTCCTCAGGCAGGGGCTGAGCAAATAGTTCAGGAACAAGCCCAGGCCCTGGGTCAGGGCGGGGCAGCAAACAAGCAGGAGCTCAAAACCCAGGCTCCTGGTTCTGAGCGTCTGGGCGAGGGGGAGACTGCCACCCGTGAGTGGGGTGGCAGTGGGGACGCAGGCCCGCCCACTCCACTGCATCCCAGCCCAGGGCCCTAACAGCAGCAGGCGGCCCACTGCTGTGTTAGTGGGGATCCTGGCCGCAACACACTGACATCGGCTCTGGGTGTGCCACAGCCAGACTAGGGTCGGCTGCCCCCAGGCTACTTCCTACCTCCCCCTCTAGCAGTACCTGCGTCTGGTCGGTGTCCTCCACGGCATCAAGCACCATGGGCTCCTCAGGGTACTCGGCGAGCGGTAGGCTTGGCAGCTCCTCTGGGTCGCTTCCCACAGGTAGGCTTAACAGCTTCTCCGGGGTCTGGTCGCCATCAGGTCTTGACTGGCATGGCCAGTCCTCTGGTCGGTCATAGGCTACAGGAGTCTCCCCAGCGGGAGCTAGGCCCCCAGTGTCTGGCTTCTCTGGCGGCCAGGCGGCTTCTGAGCCCTGGGGTGGGGCTTTTATACTTCCTGTCCTGCGCTTTGACCTTTGGGGGGCGGGCGCAGGCTCCAGTGGCTCCCTCCACTTTGGCATCCGGAGGGGCTCGTCCCTCTCTGGGGCGGCTGGGAGCCAGGCCGCCTCACTACAGGACCTTATCAAAGGCTTTCTGAAAATCTAAATACACTATATCCACTGGATCCTCCTTGTCCACATGCTTGTTGACCCCCTCAAAGAATTCTAGTAGATTGGTGAGACATGATTTCCCTTTACAAAAACCATGCTGACTCTTCCCCAACATATTATGTTCATCTATGTGTCTGACAATTTTGTTCTTTACTGTAGTTTCAACCAGTTTGCGCGGTATGGAAGTCAGGTTTACCAGCCTGTAATTGCTGGGGTCACTTCTGGAACCCTTTTTAAAAATTGGCTTCACATTAGCTATCCACCAGTCATTTGGCACATAAGATGATTTAAATGATAGGTTACAGACGACAGTTAGTAGTCCTGCAATTTCACATTTGAGTTCCTTCAAAACTCTTGGGTGAATACCATCTGGCCCTGGTGACTTATTACTGTTAATTTATCAATTTGTTCCAAAACCTTCTCTAATGACACCTCAGTCTGGGACAGTTCCTCAGATTTATCACCTAAAAAGCATGGCTCAGGTTTGGGAATCTCCCTCACATCCTCAACCATGAAGACTGATGCAAAGAATTCATTTAGTTTCTCCGGAATCTGCTTATCGTCCTTGAGTGCTCCTTTAGCATCTCGATCATCCAGTGCCCCACGGGTTGTTTAGCAGGCTTCCTGCTTCTGATGTACTTTTAAAAATTTTTGCTATTACTTTTTGAGTCTTTGGCTAGCTGTTCTTCAAATTCTTTTTTGGCCTTCCTAATTATATTTTTACACTTCATTTGCCAGAGTTCATGCTCCTTTCTATTTTCCTCATTAGGATTTAACTTCCACTTTTTAAAAGATGCCTTTTTGCCTCTCTCTGCTTCTTTTACTTTGTTGTTTAGCCACGGTGGCACTTTTTTGATTCTCTTACTATGTTTTTTAATTTGCAGTATACATTTAAGTTGAGCCTCTTTTATGGTGTCTTTAAAAAGTTTCCATGCCGCTTGCAGGGATTTTACTTTTGGTGCTGTACCTTTTAATTTCTGTTTAACTAACCTCCTCATTTTTGTTTAGTTCCCCTGTGACGGGTTCAGTCACAGAGATCCCCTTGGGACTGTCACCTGATGTGCTGAAATCACTTCTGAGCCCATTTTCCCTGCCAGCTTGGGACTTCCAGAACCCTGCCTTGTTGAGCCAGACACGCTAGCCTGCTGCAACACAGACCCTGAGTCCGGGTCACACCCCCAAAGCTGTAGGCTTTAAGTGAAAACAGCTCTGCGGGTTACCTAACTCCAGCACCTAGACACCCAGTTCCCAATGGGATCCAAACCCCAAATAAATCTGTTTTACTCTGTATAAAGCTTATACAGGGTAAACTCATAAATTGTCCGCCCTCTATATCACTGATAGAGAGATATGCACAGCTGTTTGCTCTCCCAGGTATTAATCACTTACTCTGGGTTCATTAATAAACAAAAGTGATTTTATTGAGTATAAAAAGTAGGATTTAAGTGGTTTCAAGTAATAACAGACAGAACAAAGTAGGTTATGAAGGAAAGGAAAGCAAAAACAAGCAAGTCTAAGCCTAATACATTAAGAAACTGATTACAGGTAATATCTCACCTTCAGAGATGTTCCAATAAGCTTCTTTCACAGACTAGACTCCTTCCTAGTCTGGGCCCAATCCTTTCCCCTGGTACAGTCCTTGTTAGTTTCAGCAGACATCTCAGGTGGTCATTAGGGGTTTACTCATGACTGGCAGCCCCCTTTGTTCTGTTCCACCCCCTTTTATAGCTTTGGCACAAGGCGTGAATCTTTTGTCTCTCTGCGTCCCAACCCCTCCTTCTAAATGGAAAAGTACCAGATTTAAGATGGATTTCAGCATCAGGTGACATGGTCACATGTCCCTGTGAGACCTCATTCTTCATTACCCATGGGCTGGCCTACACATACGCAGGAAGGCTTGCAGGTAAATAAACCCATTCACAGTTCATTGATTCTGAAGCACCCTTAATGGCTTCCACTTAATATGTTTACATCAGTAATACAAGTTTATATCTTATTCTCCTAACTCCAGACATGGAAATAATACATGCAAACAAATAGGATGAACACACTCAGTAGATTATAAGCTTTGTAGTGATACCTTATAAGAGAACTTTTGTATAAAGCATATTCCAGTTACATTATATTCACATTCATAAGCATATTTTCATAAAGTATATGGAGTGCAATGTCACATCCCCTTTCTGAAATTAAATGCTATTGTGTTGGGCCGCTGGGGTGTTTTCCCCACCACAGGGATGTTAAATTTAATTATATTATGGTCACTATTACCAAGCGGTCCAGCTATATTCACTTCTTGGACCAGATGCTGTGCTCCATTTAGGACTAAATCAAGAATTGCCTCTCCTCTGGTGGGTTCCAGGACCAGCTGCTCCAAGAAGCAGTCATTTAAGGTGTCAAGAAACTTTATCTCTGCATCCCTTCCTGAGGTGACATGTACCCAGTCAATATGGGGATAGTTGAAATCCCCCATTATTATTGAGTTTTTTATTTTAATAGCCTTTCTAATCTCCCTGAGCATTTCACATCACTATCACCATCCTGGTCAGGTGGTCGGTAATATATCCCTACTGCTACATTCTTATTATTCAAGCATGGAATTACTATCCATAGAGATTCTATGGTATAGTTTGGTTCATTTAAGATTTTTACTTCATTTGATTCTACGCTTTCTTTCACATATAGTGCCACTCCCTCACCAGCATGACCTGTTCTGTCCTTTCGATATATTTTGTACCCTGCTACCCTGTTTCCCCGAAAATAAGACATCCCCCGAAAATAAGACCTACTTCCAGTTTTGCCTCTCGCTGTAATATAAGACATCCCCCGAAAATATGACCTCCCTGATAATAAGGCCACCCTGGAATATAAGGCCCCGAAGCTCCAGGAAAAATAAGACCTCCCCTGAAAATAAGACCTAGCGCATCTTTGGGAGCAAAAATTAATATAAGACACTGTCTTATTTTCGGGGAAACACGGTATTACCGTGTCCCATTGATTATCCTCATTCCACCAAGTTTCTGTGATGACTATTATATCAATATCCTCAGTTAATATATCAATATCCTCAGTCCAGCTCAGGTCTGCGTGGGCAAGCAGAGCGCAATCTGCTACACTCCCTGGGACAGTGACAGGGATGGATGAGCGTGGGAGACTGCTCCGTGGCTCCCTCCTCCATTGCCCAGGACAAGACAAGGTTCTGCTGCACTGCTCGGGTGGGGTGGAGGGAGGGCTGCAGACGTTCTCAGTGCACATCCTAGAGCTGAGCCATTTCCCAGGGCCATGGAAGCTCCAGGGCACTTGGGAACAGCAGATGAGTAGGGGGACCAGTCTGCAGGGCATGTCCATTAAAGGAAACGGGCTACCCATCAAAGAGCCAGGCCCCTTTACTGAGGGAGGAGCCAGCAGGGCGGGTGCCCTGCCTGGACAGTGAGACTCACGACACCCTCAGTGCCTGCGCCTGCCAGGCAGGACCCCACTCTATATCTGGCTGCCTGCTGCTGCTTCTCTCTCTGTGGTCTGGGAAGTGGGGGCTCCCCAGTGCTCACTGGCTCTGCTCCTACCTTGGAGTCTGGGTCTTGTCCTGAATGACTCCTAGGGATCAGCTGGCCTTCAGAGATAAACGTGCTTCTCTAGGGAGCGCAGAGACCTCTGGAGTGCCTCCAGACAGGGCTCATCCATACACCTTTATTCCCGGGCAGGTGACACGGCTCCAGGCCAGGTTTACACCTCTGTAGAGCCCCACAGGCACCAGCTGCTGTGGGCTAGCTAAACCGGTGCCACCTCACACTGTTAGTTGCCCTGGTACTGTTCTGTGTGTAGAGCAGGCCCTGGGGATTGCTCCCACTCCAGAGCTGCCAGGCTGCCCAGGACAGGGCCATCACAGCCCCCAGAACTCCACAGAGCAGCCAGTCCTGGCAAATTCCCCTTCCTGTTATCACCAGTCACAGTGGGAGCCTGATTCCCATCCAGCGTTCCCCTTGATCTGTCTCCTCCCATCTTGCCCCCCATACCCTGCCCCACTACACAATCACACACCTTCTACCAATCTCTAGGCTCCACGCAAGACCAAGAACCCTCCTAATATAGCACCCGGGGCTGTCCCTAGACAGCACTGGGACGTGGGCCAGGCTATTAGGCTAGTTCAGGGGGTGTGCCGCTGGCTTTTAACTGGGCATAGGGTGACCAGACAGCAAATGTGAAAAATCGGAACAGGGGATGGGGGGTAATAGGCACCTATATAAGAAAAAGACCCAAAAATCAGGACTGTCCCTATAAAATCGGGACATCTGGTCACCCTAACTGGGCAAGCGTTAAAGAGAGTGTGGTGGAGCAATGCACAGGGCAGGGAGCTGGCCTGTGGCGGGGAGGGAGCAGGCCAAAGCAGGTCAGGGGAATCGTGGCGGGGGGGCAGGCATGTGGGGGGAGTGGGACAGGCTGACACAGGGAGTGGGCAGCATGAGAGGGGAGAGAAGTTGCGCGAGCGGGGAGTGTGAGCCAGTTCGCGAGGGGGGAGTAGGCGTGTGAGTGGGGAGCGTGATGGGCTGGTGCATAGGGGGGGAGCAGGCGCACGAGGGGGGAGTATGATGGGCTGGTGCATGAGGGGGAGCAGGCGCGCGAGCAGGGAGCGTGGAGGGGCGGGCCGGCATGTGAGGGGGGAGCAAGCATGTGAGCAGGGAGCGTGGAGGGATGTGTTGGCGTGCGAGCAGGGAGTATGGGGTGGGCGACGTGCAAGCCGGGAGCATGGAGGGGCGGGCTGGCTGGTGCGTGTGAGGGGGGAGCAGGCGTGGAGAGCGTGGCGGGACGTGCGAGGGGGGAGCAGGCGCAGGAGTGGGGAGGGGCGGGCCGGCACGTGAGCAGGAAGTGTGGAGGGGTGGGCCGGTGTGTGAGGGGGAGCAGGCATGTGAACGGGGAGCGTGGAGGGGCAGGCCGGCATGCGAGGAGGGAGCAGGCGTGGGGAGCAGGCACAGGAGTGTGGAGGGATGGGCTGGCGCCCGAGGGAGGCGGGGTGGGGCAGCGCATGAGCAGGGAGCGTGGCAGGGCTGGGCGGGATGGTGCATGAGGGGGGAGCAGGTGCACGAGCAGGGAGCGTGGAGGGGCGAGCCGGCACGTGACGGGGGAGCAGGCGTGCGAGTGGGGAGCGTGGAGGGGCGGGCTGGCACGCAAGCGGGGAGCGTGGAGGGCCGGGCCGGGCCAGTGCAAGAGGTGGAAGCGTGGAGGGGCGGCCCAGCTCAGCACGCAAGGGGAGCGTGGAGGGGCAGGCCGGTGCGCGCACAAGCGGGGAGGGGTTGGCCAGCACGTCGGGGGGATCGTAGAGAGACGGGCTGGCGCATGAGAGAGTAGCACGCTGCAGGCAGTGGTGGAAAGGATGATACACGTTGCTGAAGTAGGTCGCCTTTGTTTTTCAGGAGAAGGTCACTAGGCTGAAAGCCAAGGATACCAAGCTGGAGACAGACAAGCGGAGGCTGAAGGAAGTCCTGGAGGCAGCTGAGAGTAGGGCCACCAAGCTGGAGCTGAGCCGTCGCTCCGTGGAAGGGGAGCTTCAGCGTGTCCGGCTCAGCCTGGTGGACCGAGATACTGAGATCCAGGCCCTGCAGGAGCAGGTCCAGGCCCTGCGCTGCCAGTTCGGGGACAGCGAGAGCAAATCAGCCAAGCTGCAGCAGGAGCTGGGCCGCCTGGGTCACTCACTGGCCCAGACAGAGGACAAGGAGAGCCACCTGAAGGACAAGGTGCAGAGCCTTTCCCAGGCACTGACTGATGCCTCCACGGGGTCCTCCACCCTTCAGGAGAACGTCTTCCAGCTGCAGAAGGCTCTGACAGCAGCGGAGCAAGACCGCCGGGTGCTCCAGGTAATGGTCCCACCCCTTCTCCTCAGCACTGGGCGAGCAGACAATGTAGGGGTGGGACTGAGCAGGGGGAAAGGGGTCAGCGGAGCCTCTGGCCCTTTGGATACAGTCGGGAAGGCCGTTCCACCTGCTGAGCCCACCTGTGTACATCACAGTGGGGTCCAGTCCCCCCACAAACACCCCGTGCTGCAGGATGCACCGTGCCCCACCAGCCTGAACAGGGGCTTGTAAACACTCCCTTTGGTTCCAATGCACTGCGGTTTGCCCAGCCCAAATATCGCAACATTTTGGAACAAACCAGTGTTTGGGTGAAGCTTGGCCCAAGGGGAAGCTGCCCTGTTCAGAGATCACAGGGAAGCCAGCTGGCTGCAGGACCCCCCAGGAGGAAGTTTGCAGGCCTGAGTTGGGAGGTCAGGCTAAATGGGCAGAATGGGACCTTTCAGCCTGGAAATCCACAAACCTGTGGATTTAGCATGATGTCAGTGCAGCCCTGTAATCAGCCTAGCCTGCTTGGGGCTGGGCCCTGGCTCTCCGCCATGGCTGCAAACATTAGCAAACCTTTCAGCCAGCTTGGCCTGAGGTTTGAGTTGGTGCACAGCATAACCAGGGCCCCAGTAAGATGGTAATGCTGTCCATGCTGTTCCTCTTCTGTGGGGTGATGTGTTGTCAAGCTAGAGCTGCCAACAGCAAGCCATTGCAAAGAAAAAGGGAGCTGTGCATCCAGATCAATTCCAGCCGGTACATTCCCCTCCAGAGCCACAATGTGCCATCCACAGCTCTGGAATCCCTGCAGAGAGTGCATCCACACAGCTGACTTTGAGGGAGTTACTGTGGTGTTTTGCCAGCGTGAGCACAGACTCAGACTCAGGATATAAGCGCAGATGGCTGAGGTCGGGGCTGTCTCTAGGGGCTCAGAGCCTGTGGTCGCTGGTGTGACTGGCATGCAGAGCTAGCTAGAAAGAGAGTAACTCCCTGGCCTGCCCCCAGTCCCTGCTGATCCTTCTGGGAACACAGGCTCTTGGCTGGCAGTAACTCAAGTCTTCAGCTGACACTTTTCAGTGCAAGGTGAATGGCTAAAAGAGGTGATCTCCATCCCTGATGTGAGCTGGGCGAGGCCCATGACTATCAACGTGAGCTGTTCATGGAGGATTCAGCAGGCCTGTGTGCACCCACACTTAGCTACAGAGCTGTACATCCCAGAGGCTCTTCTGGACCCTGGATTTCCAGCTGATGAAGGCTGTAGTCTTTCCTCTTGGGGCTGGACCTCACCATTGTTATCTACGTGTTTGACCCCTCAGCAGCCTGCTTTCTCCTGTATATGTGCAATGCCATGCACACCCATGGCACTGCCTCATCGAGAAAAATAAGAGCATAAGAACAGCCATACTGGGTCAGACCAAAGGTCAGTCTAGCCCAGTATCCTGTCTTCTGACAGTGGCCAATGCCAGGTGCCCCAGAGAGAATGAACAGAACAGGGAATCATCAAGTGATCCATCCCGTCGCCCACTCCCAGCTACTGGCAAACAGAGGCTAGGGACACCATCCCTTCCCATCCTGGCTAATAACCATTGATGGACCTATCATCCATGAATTTATCTAGTTCTTTTTTGAACCGTGTTATTGTCTTGGCCTTCACAACATCCTCTGGCAAAGAGTTCTACAGGTTGACTGTGCGTTGTGTGAAAAAATACTTCCTTTTGTTTGTTTTAAACCTGCTGCCTATTAATTTCATTTGGTGACCCCTAGTTCTTGTGATATGAGACAGAGTAAATAACACTTCCTTATGCACTTTCTCCAGGCCAGTCATGATTTTATAGAGCTCTAGCATATCCCCCTTTATTCATCTCTTTTCCGAGCTGAAAAGTCCCAGTCTTATTAATCTCTCCTCATACGGCAGCCGTTCCATACCCCAGTCATTTTTGTTGCTCTTTTCTGAACCTTTTCCAATTCCAATATATCTTTTTTTGAGATGGGGTGACCACATCAGCACACAGTATTCAAGATGTGGGCATACCATGGATTTATATAGAGGCAATATGATATTTTCTGTTTTATTATCTATCCCTTTCTTAATGATTCCCAACATAGTTATAATGAAACTATGCCAATTCATCCCAGCTGGGGACCTGGCCCATAGGCTCCAATGGAGCGACACCAAATCACCCCAGCTGGGCACCTGACCCGTAGACTCCAGTGGATAGATGCTGAGTCACCCCAGCTGGGGACCCGGCCCATAGACTACAGTAGAGCAACGCCAAGTCACCCCAGCTGGGGACCTAGCCCATAAACTCCAGTGGAGCAAAGTCGAGTCACCCCAGCTGGGGACCTGGCTAATAGGTAGGGATCTGGCCAATAGCTGGGGACCTGGCCCATAGCTGGGTATCTGGCCTATCGTATATTTACAATGACAGAGCTCTGTACTGGGATACATAATACATATATCTTGTTGCACATGCCAGCTAACACGTGCAGAGCATTAAGAACAGGCAGAGCTGAGGTAGCAGTCAGTTCCTGGATTCTGAATGCTTCCTCTGAGTGACCCATTCCTTTCTCAGGAGCGCTTGGACTCCGTGCGGCAGGCGCTGTCAGACAGCAAGAGGCAGAACCACAGCCTGACGGACACCATGCGCATGCTGCAGGACCAGCTGGGAGAGCTGGAGTTGAGGTGCAGGGAACTGGAAGCTCAGGTCGAGCACCTACAGGAGGTGAGTGGGGGAGAGAGGAAGGATGGCCTTGAGCTAAAGGCCCTAGACGCAGCCTCAGGAGATCTGATTTCAAGTCCCTGCTCTGCCACAGATTCCCGTGTGCCCTTGGGTGAGTCACTTAGCCTCTCTAGGCCTCAGTTCCCCCTCATAATATTGCTTCCTTTACCTGTTTAGATATGGGGCATATGTACAGCACCTCGTACGGGGGGCCCTGATCCTAGTCAAGAAACCGGGCAGTGTACATAATTCCCGAGGAGCAGCTGGAACATAGCAAGGGGGGGAGTGCCAACAAGGAGCAGAAAGGAGATGGGAGGAGAGGAAAGAGCTCAGACCCTCTCATCCAGCTAAGTAGGGTCAGCATCTGGATGGGAGCCCTCCAAGTAACCCTGCTGTGGGAAATGAGACTGGTGACTCAGGAGATAGCACGCCTTCCTCTCAGTTAGTTAAGCAAATATCCTCCCATGGGGCAGAGGGCCCTTTGCCACTGAAGATACTGGGCTCTCATTGAGACACAAAACTGTGGCCCCAAGTATTTGTGTGCATTAATGACCCTACATCCCTTTTACAAGAGGAGGGGAGTTAGCTTCAGTGGAGGGGCCTAATTGCAGCTGGGGGAAGTAGATTTTGGCTAGTGCCGTTTCAGCTGCATAGAGTAGTCTTCACTTCCCACAAGCCTGTTGTGTAGTGTAGCTCTAGGCTGTTAACCAGCTGCTGTGTTCTGCCCCAGATGTGCTGACCCTTTTACCAGGTTGTCTAGGCAGCACCCCCTTTTGTGGCACATCAAGACATAACTCACTCCAGCGCAGGTCTCCAGTGGTCAGGTGTTGCCCCTCCTGGAACTGATGCCATGGTGCCTTCAAACCCCTCCTATGGCACACTGAAGTCTTACCCTTTCTGGTGTGTGAGAGTCCAGAACGAAAAAGAAAACAGTGCACTTCAAAACCAGGGCTCCACCCTTCTGGTCTGGGCTTGTCTCCCTGAGGCTGGTCCCTTTTTGTCAGTCTGCCTGGCTCTGGTCGTCCTGTCCACCACATGGCTCCTCCATGCCACAAGCTGCCTTAGGCTCTCGTCTGTAGCTGGTGCCGTCCCCAAGGAAACAGCAGATCTCTACTCTCCTTCCCGGGGCTAGGTCTCTTCCACCTTTCAGCTCTTCTCTCCACACCTGCCATTGGTTGCAGGTATAGCAGGATGGGGTCAACTGGGTCCACAGGCTCTCCTTAACCCTGTCATTGCCAGTGTGGGGCCTGTCTGCCCCATCACAGCTTCCAAGACACAAGAGAAGTAACAGCTATTTATACAATGGTTAGTAAAACCCTGTGGGATGAAAAGGGCTATATACATGTAGGGTATTATTTAATTACGTATTGGTTATTATGTATTTATTTATTATGGGAAAGAAGACAGCAAAAGATGGAATAGAAAAAACAGCAAGAGGAAGCAAGATAGAGACACAAATGTAGACTGGTAGGGACTGTGGTTTCAGCTGTGTGGTGTAAATCTTGTTGAATTATTCCAGATTTACATTGCTGGACTGAGAGCAGAATGGGCCCACAGAGAAAAAGTCGAGAAGAGAAACCAGATATACAAACATTGAGGGAGCCACAAAGCCGTCCTCTCTGAAACTGTTGAGATCCATTTTCTGGTGGTGTAAATTGGCACGGTTCTTCTTCAAGTGATTGCTCATATCCATTCCAATTAGGTGTGTGCGCGCTGTGTGCACAGTCATCGGAAAGTTTTTCCCCTAGCAGCACCCATCGGGTCAGCTATGGAGCCCCCGGGAGTGGCACCTTCATGGCGCTTGTAGCAGGGTGGTCACCCCGCTCCTGCCCTGAAGGGCTTAAAACAGCCCTGGGTGAGGGCTGTGGCAGGGGAAAAGCTGGGCTGATTGGGGGAAACAGCCACAGTTGGGGCCACGCCCCAATCAGGCCACAGCTGGCCCCTATAAGAGGGCTGAGGGCCAGAGGCTGAGACAGAGTCTCTCTCTAGCTTCTGAGAGAGAAGGACTTGGCTGCCTGGGAGCTGAGAAGGGTACCTAGGGTGGAGCAGTGCTGGGGAAGGGCAAAGTGAGCTGAGGAGCTCCAGCCTAGTAAAACCCATGCTGCAGGCCTCGTCAAAGGCCTACAAAGGGTACTGGAGCTGCAAAGGGGCAGCCCATAGGTAGGCAAAGGCAGCCGGTCCAAATCCCCTTGCCAATGATGAGTGGTTTATAGACTTCAGTCTGCCCCAGGGAGCGGGGGCTAGATGATGACTGACCGTAGCCACTGAGGCAAGGTGGGGATAGAGGGTTGGGGGTTCCCCTGGGTGGGGAGACCCAGATGGTGGGTTACTGCTGGGGCCGAACCCTGACGTAGAGGGGCACCGGGGTCCGAGAGGGACACAGGGGCCAGCGGCCGGTGAGACACCGGCCTGCAGAAGGCGCTCCGGGCTGGAAAAGCTAATTGCCAGGACGACCAGCAGGAGGCGCCATGCTGGTGAGTCGTCGCCCCGCCACAGCACTCAATATATGCCCTGCTGTCCCGGTGCCTCCTCGGTTCCTTCTTACCGCCAGTGATGGTCGTTGGAACTATGGCGTCTTGCTTAGCAAGTTCTCCATGTTTCCCTAGCTCTTGTTTTTCTCGTTGTTTCTTACATCTTTTTACTTAGTTTATTTTAGCAGTAGTTTGTAGCAGTTGGGCTGGGGGGGGTTACCGTCTATCCCGACCGCTTTTTCTTGGGAGGGCTTTCATGCCCAAGTCCCAGGGGTTCAAGCCCTGCAAGTCCTGCTCCAAGCCCATGCCAACGGGCAACTCCCACGACACTTGTCTGAAGTGTCTGAGGGAGGCTCACCAAACTGATCGGTGCAGGATTTGTAAGGAGTTTCGCCCCAGAAACAACAAGGAGCGAGACTTTCGCCTTAAGCAGCTCCTTATGGAGGCGGCACTTAGACCTCAGCCTCCTTCAGTGCTGCAGGACCCAGCACCAAGTTCTTTGGTGCATAGCACCCTGGCAGCAGTGGTGGAAGTGACACCACTGACAGACTGTAGCAGAGAATTGCGAACCGCCACTCCCCGGCACCGAAACCAGCAGGATCGACCCAGCACCAGTCCCACTCCCCGGCGCAGAAGCAGCACCAGAAGCAAGGGAGGAGTGGCTCTCCATCCCAGAGGCCCACCCCTCTGGAGCCAGCCAATTGGGTGTGTCCTTGTGAGGAGCACCCAGTGCCTAAGCCTGCGGAGATGGCACCGTTGACTTCGGCCCTGCAAGGGGGACCGTCGAGTCCGGTGCCGTTGGACTCCCCGCCCCACATCATCAAGGAGTTGGAGCTGCCATCCACTCTGGACACCTTTTTGGCAGTGAGGGACCTCATCGCCATGACAGCGCTGAGGTCACCTACGATTCATGCCAAGCCTCCAGTACCACATCGTATGGCACCATCTCGAGGCAAACCAGTGATGATCCGGCTGTCGGCACCACTGATTGAGTCCCGGCAATGCTTGGAGTCCCGGCGCCGCTTGCAATCGCAGCACTGGTTGGACTCACGGCACCGATTGGACTCACGGCACCACTCCAGGTTGCGCCAGCACTCCTGATCGCGACGCCGATCCGCACATTGGTCCCCTTCAGGAAGCAGGTCCTGGACCCGGCAACGGTCCCAATGTGGCTCGACGACCCCGTGTAGCTCCAGGTCACGGCACCGCTCCCCACCCTCGCGGCACCACTCTCCAGCTCACCTCTGCTTGGCTCAACCCTGGCCCTTGCGGTCCCGATCCCGGTCCTCGTACTTGGAGGTGGAATGTAGGTACTTGGAACGGGACCGGCACTGGTCCGGCCGTGGACGCTCTGAGGTGGGGGAAGGACCGTGGCCTGTGCAGTGGCAGGGACCAGCGCAGTGGCCATTTTGGATCCCGTGGGCGAACCACTAGGCCCAGGGCACCCAGTCTAAAGGCTCCCAATCAGCCACCTCTGAACCAAGGGTGCCGGAGGCCTCAGCCAGTCGCCCCACCCCTAGGGGTGCTGAGGAGGCACCATGCCCCTGTCCCCCCTTGGAACCAACTCCAACTCCGGTTCCTGAGCCTGGGGCTACCAGCGACGCAGGTTGTCAGGCTCCTGATGAGCAGAAGGGGAGGGAGGACCCTGTTCCCCCATTATCCTCTTCGTCCTCCTCCCCAGACGAGGCCATCGCAGGCACTTCCATCTCTGGACCGCCTCCTGTAGACAGCCGCATCCACTAGGACCTCCTGCGCAGGGTGGCACGCAACATGGGCCTGCAGGCCGAGGAGGTGATGAAGTCAGAGGACCCGGTGGTCGACATTTTGGCCCCAGAAGGTCCTTCGAGGGTGGCTCTGCCCCTCATCAAAACTATACAGGCCAATGCCAAGACTATCTGGCAGACTCCGGCCTCCGTCCCTCCCACAGCCAAGGGCGTCAAGAGGAGGTATTTTGTGCCCTCAAAGGGGTACAAATAACTCTTTACGCACCCGCAGCCCTGTTCATTGGTGGTTGCGGCTGTAAATGAGAAAGAGGGGCAGCAGGCCCCAGTGCCCAAGTCCAAGGAGTCCAAGCGTCTGGACTTGTTTGGGCATAAAGTGTACTCTATGGGAGGGGGTCCAGCACAGAATTGCCAACCAGCAGGCAATTCTGAGCCGATATAACTTCAACTCCTGGAACTCGATGCTCAAGTTCAAGAGCTTGTGCCAACTGAATCCAGGGGAGTTTGGGGCCATAGTAGAGGAGGGCAAGGTGGTGGCACGGACCTCTTTACAGGCCTCACTGGACACTGCGGACTCGGTGGCGCACACCTTGTCCTCAGGTATTGCCATGAGGTGCACCTCATGGTTGCAGGCCTCGGGCCTTCAGATGATGCAGGACCTGCCTTTTGATGGGGCGGGCCTGTTCGCAGAGCAGACTGCTGCATAGCCTAAAAGACTCAAGGGCTACTAAGAAATCTTTGGGTATACACATCCCAGCAACCCAACACAAGCATTTCAAGCCCCAACAGCAGCAGCAGCACTCCTACCCTCCTCA